CCCCGATGGGCAGGATGGGAACCAGCCCCTCAGTCCCCTCTGGAACAGGGCTGGGGTGCAGTGGGGTTGTTTCGGGGCTGTATGGGAATTGGAGGGGTATCTCCACTATCCCTGGTGCTCTTTTGGGGTGGGGAGGGTTACAGCCTGTTACCGTTCCACTCATAAGGGGAGGAAAGACCCCCCGGGTTTCCCCGTGGGAAATCTGCGTCGGTGGTTTGGGAGACACTTAACCCTGGTGCTGCTGGGCTAGTGCCCTGTGACAGGGACTAGAGAGGGGGGCAGGGCCCCCCAGAACCCGCCTTTTCCCTCGGGATATGGATGGTGAGTGACATCATCTGTTTCCCCAAATAGATCCCAATTCAGAAGTGAGGGGGATCAGGAAAGTAACACCCCCTCAACAGATGAAGGCAGGTCATTTGGGGTTGCAAGCTGTCCCAGAGTGGCAGGTTTTTTGGGGGGGCCTTTGCTCCCCTCTGGTGCCCACCTCCAGCTCATGTCTGATGTCCCACCCTCACCTGGCATCGTGTATCCCAGCACTTTCCCCACCTGGCAGCTGAAGGGGAGAGTGGGGGGGCAGTCAGGGCTGGGGTCCTCCCACCCCCTTGACACCCTGGTGGGGGGTCTCCAGCCCCCCATCGAGGCTCTCAGCCTGATTCTTTTCCCTTCCTCTGTCCCCACAGTTAAAAAGGCCAAGTATGACGGGCCCCAAGGTAAGTGACCCCCCACCTGAGGGGGGACGGGGGGGCTCTTGGGCTGGCTGGATGTGGCAGGGTCAGAGGAAGGGCTGGGGGGAGAGGGGAGCCCAGGCTCATCCTCAGCTCTGGAGATATCATTCGGCAAGTTTGGGGTGGGGGAGGAGCACACACAGGGATGGGGGTGCCCTGAACAGGAGCGGGGGGGACTCACATTCATCACCCCAGCAGAGGTGGGATCCATTGCGGGGCTGGCGTGCCAAGTGTGGGGTCCCCACGGGAGGGTGGCAGTGGGTGGTGTCAGGGGGGCACACTGGGGGTCACTTCACCCTCTTCTTGCTCCCACAGAGAAGTTTAACACCTACGTGACCCTGAAGGTGCAAAATGTCAAGAGCACGACCATCGCGGTGCGGGGCAACCTGCCCTCCTGGGAGCAGGACTTCATGTTGTGAGTGTCCAGGGGGTCCCCCGGGGTCCCCCATCACTGCTGCCCCTGCAGACAGGGGGAGGTCCCCTGCTGACCCCAGCCCTGGGGGCTCCCCTGAGTCCTGGGCCTGAGGGGGCAGGTCAAGGCTGGGGTGGTCCCAGGGGCCTGCTGAGGGGGGTGACCTGAAGGGGGGTGTAGCCTGATACCTTTCCTGTCCCCAGTGAGATCAACAGGCTTGACCTGGGCCTGACAGTGGAGGTGTGGAACAAGGGGCTCATCTGGGACACCATGGTGGGGACGGTGTGGATCCCCCTGCGGACCATCCGGCAGTCCAACGAGGTAGGGAGCCAGGCATGTCCACCCCACGTGGACCCCAAGGGACATGACCCAGCCTCAGCTGTCCTTCGGGGCAGGGAGTGCCTTCCCCATCCTGCTTGGGGCCAGACCCCATGTGCTGGTTGTGGGGCCAGGAAAGGCCCATGGGAGCTCTCCTCACCCCATTTCCACCCCGCAGGAGGGCCCTGGGGAATGGCTCACACTCGACTCCCAGGTCATCATGACCGACAACGAGATTTCGGGCACCAAGGACCCGACTTTCCACCGCATCCTCCTTGACACCCGCTTCGAGCTGCCACTGGGTGGGTACCATCCCTGACCCCCCTGGACTGGGGTGCATCCTTCCTGGTCCCCAGCCCTCCAGGCATGCTCAGGAGCCTTGGAGTTGGGGCTGAGGCTCTGACCCTGTGGCCTCAAAAGCTTGAGGGCTGTTTTGGGAGGGGGGTTCTGTGCACCAAGTTGGGTCTTTGCCCTTGCAGATATCCCCGAGGAGGAGGCCAGGTACTGGGCCAAGAAGCTGGAGCAGCTCAATGCAATGCGGGACCAGGATGATGTAGGTGCAGCCAGACCCGGGGTGAGGGGGGTGGGGGCAGCAGTGCTGCCAGCAGGAGCCCTCATCAGCCCCTCTCTTCCCAGTATGCCTTCCAGGAGGAGCAGGAAAAGCCTCTGCCCGTGCATGGCTCCCAGTGCTGTAAGTACTGCCTTGTCCCTGCCCTGCCGTGGGACCCCCACGCCCCCTCTTCCTCCCCACTCCCCACACTGGGGATTCTCAGGGGTGGGCTCTGTTTGTACTTTGGAGCACTGGACCCCATCCAAGTGGGGCTCAACTTTACCCCACACCCTGTCCCCATTCCCATCCTCCCTCCCGTGTTTGCTGGTGTTTCTTTGCTGTCCCCCTGCTCCACAGTGGGTGAGCCTTCCTGTGGTCTGAGGGGAGCAGGGCGTGAGGGGCAATGGGACTGGTAAGGACAGTCCCCTGGGGAGCCTGGGCAAAGGGCAACAAGGCTGGTGAGGGAGCTGCTGGGTGGGGGCCCCAGCAGAGGGGTTTGGGGGATTCGGGGTGGCAGCTCAGTTTGTCCCGACCTGTGCCTGTTTGTCCTTCTGTAACCACCCCAAGTCCAGGTCAGTGTGTCTGTGCCCAGCCCAGGACCTGTCCCCTTTGAGTGCCACCATGCCTGTCCACAGCACTGTCCCCAGTCTGGGTCAGTGTCACCGTGCCCAGCCCCATGTGCTGTCCCCAGCTCTGCTTGGTGTCACCACGGCTCAGGCCCAGGCACTGTCCCCAGTGCACTTAGTGCCACTGGGCTCATCATCCCTAGGCCCCTTCCCTGTCCCATCATGGTGCTGCATTGCACAGTCCCTGTCCCCAGCATGGCTCAGTGCCAATGTGCCCCATCCTGGATGTCCCCCATCTCAGGGCACTGTCCCCCACCCAGCCCAGTGCCACTGTGCCATCTGGGAGATGCTGGTTCCTCCCAACCAGCTGCCTCTCTCCTTATTGTCTCTGCCCCTTTCTTTGTAGGCAACTGGAATTATTTTGGCTGGGGAGAACAGCAGAGTAAGTATCCTGCCCCCTCCTCTCCTCTCAGCCTGGGGGTCCGCAGCATGTCCCCCTTTGCCTGGCCCAGGGCTCAGGGGACCTGGGGCTTGGGTTCAACCTGTGGCCTCATGCCATGACTCTGCTGGGTGAGGACGGTGTCACCAAGTGCCCTGTCCTGGGCAGGGCTGTCCCCATGGGCTGGTGGGGACACAGCTCTGGGTGGCTCTGTGCCCTCAGGGTGCCCTGGTAACCATGAGCAGCCCAGGCTTTGCCTCTGTGGTGGGACATCAGTGGGGCAGAGGGAGGCTCTGCCCTGTCCTCTTTCTCCTTTCTGTATGTCCCAAATTCCCCCTCTGCCTCCCCCTCCCCCTCAAACCCTTCCCGCACTGAGAACACGTGCAGCCCCCTCTCACCCTGCCCAGGGTCCATCTCCCCAGCACGGGCCCACAGCGGTGGGGACACAGTGGGGGCACTGACGGGTCTGTGCAGGGCGTGGGGCAGATTTGGGCCATCCCCTGTCCCACTCACTGTGTCCCCTGGCAGATGATGACCCTGACAGCACCGTGGATGACCGGGACAGCGATTACCGCAGCGAGACCAGCAACAGCATCCCCCCCCCTTACTACACCACGTCCCAGCCCAACGCCTCCGTGCACCAGTACCCCATGAGGCACCAGCAGCAGAGCTCCCGCGACTCCTACACAGACTCCATGCAGAGCTACGAGATGGACTACTCGGACCAGGCTCCCATCAGGTAGTGTGGGGTGCAGCCCCCCCGGGACTCCCTCTCTCAACCTCCCCCCCAGGTGACAGAGGCCAGCAGGTCCCTGAGGTGACGCCAGGGATGGTGCTCCCAGGGAGGTGGGTGACAGAGGGAAGGAGGCTGAGGTGAGGAAAAGGTGGATGGTGCTGGCCCCATCCAAGCCTTTCCTTCTCCCTGGGAAGTTTTCAAGCCCTTTTGTGTCACCGCTCTCCTCTGTCCTCGCTGGGTTTGGGGACCCCCACGCCACGCTGGGAGCTGGGCAGTGGGGTGTGGGCTGGCTGGGGACGCAGACGTGGCAGAGACACCTGCCCAGCGCTTCCTCCCTGCGGCCACAGCACAGCCCAGCCCAAGGTGCCAGCCCCCTCCAGGTGGGCAGAGCCTCCCTGCCGGTGCCCCCCGGCGGCAGGGGATGCCGGGACGTGGCGGGTGGCGGTGGTGTGGCACTGGGGCCTCGCTGACCATGTTCCTCTCCTCCCCGGCAGACGCTATGGTAGCGTAGACTCTGCCGCAAACGGACGCAGCGACGCTGAGTCCGGTTCTGAGTCGAGCAGGCGGACCAGCCGCCAGCCTTCCCTTGAGAGCAGGCGGTCCCTAGACCTATCGGATAGGTGGGTCTCTGCCTGTGCCGTGTGCCGTGTGCCGTCGCAGAGTGCTGTGGTCGGTCCTTGCAGCCGTGGTGAGGCCAACACCAGTCCTGGCAAGGGCGGCCTCGTGCCACCGCAGGGTCCCCGCTCCCCGTCCCGGATCGGCCTCGCAGGGGGGCAGCGTTGGGGTGCTCCAGGTGTTCCCTCCGATGTCCCTTCTTGCTGCTGCACCCCAGTTCACGGGGTGATGTCCCAGCATCCTGGTACCACTCGTTGGCACTGCGACCATCTGCAGCCTGTTCCTCCTTGGGCCAGCGGGTGTGGGAGTGGGGCCTCGGGGACTCAAATGCCACCCCGTGTTCCTGGTCATCTCCCAGAGAATGCCTGGCTGGGCCAAAGCCTCATGCAGTGATTTGGGATCCTTGTGATGTGCCAAGGGCCCCTCTCCCAGCTCTGGCCAGGGTCAGGATGGGGAGGTGGGGGGTTTCCACGCATGAGCCATGTCTCCTGCACCCCTGTGCCCCAAGTGCCCCTTCCCAAGGTACCTGGATGATGCCAGTACCCCTCCCAGCTGGGACCAACCTGGGCATCCCCCAGCACCCTCTTCCTTGCAGTGTCCCCTGGCTTCCCATTGCCTTGCTCGGCCACTCCGGGCTCTGCCCATCCCACCCCCTCATCCCCATTCCCCTTGCCCACCCCACTCGCCCTGGCTGGAG